TCACGCAGACTTTCTCCAGCAGAGCAGAATTATGATGTTGGTGACAGAGAGCTACTAGCTATCAAGCTAGCCCTGGAGGAGTGGAGACACTGGCTTGAGGGCGCTGAACACCCTGTCTTGGTTTGGACGGATCATAAGAACCTGTCATATATCCAGTCTGTAAAGAGATCTAACCCACGTCATTCCCGTTGGTCTCTGTTCTTCTCAAGATTTAATCTGATCATATCTTACAGACCCGGTTCCAAGAACATTAAGCCCGACTCTCTTTCTCGCCTGTATTCATCCGATAAGCCTGAAACACCCGAACCTGTTCTTCCTGCCACTTGCACGGTTGGAGCCGTTTCCTGGGAAACTGATCTCATCAATCTTGCCTTGGCTTCTGAACCTGACCCAGGAAATGGACCTCCAAATAGAACTTATGTTCCTACTTCTGTCAGATACCGTCTCATCCAGTGGATGCATGCAGCTAAGTTCTCAGCCCATCCAGGTATAAGTAGAACCATCGCTCTCATCACACGACGTTTTTCGTGGCCATCCCTTCACAAGGACGTGAAGGAGTACGTGCTGGCCTGTCCCATCTGTGCCAGAAATAAGCCGACCCACCAACCACCTTCTGGGCTGCTACATCCTCTGCCTGTTCCGTCTCGCCCATGATCCCACATAGCAGTGGATTTCATTACCGGTCTCCCAGTTTCCAAGGGTATGTCAACCATCCTCACCATAATTGATTGTTTCTCTAAAGCCTGTCATCTGGTCCCCCTCAGGAAACTGCTCACTGCTTTCCAGACCGCTCAGCTATTGGTCAAGCATGTGTTCCGTCTTCATGGTATTCCACAAGAGATTCTGTCCGATCGAGGTCCCCAGTTCATCTCCCAGGTTTGAAAAGGTTTCTGTACAGCTCTAAATTCAAAAGTCTCTCTCACTTCCAGATATCATCCACAGTCTAATGGCCAAACGGAGAGGATGAATCAGGAGCTAGAATCCACTCTCCGTTGCCTGACATCCACTCACCCGACTGACTGGAGTCAGTATTTGTCATGGGTAGAGTACACCCACAACACACAAAAATCTGCTGCTACCGGTCTGTCTCCGTTTCAGGTATCCATAGGCTATCAACCACCACTCTTCCCTGCAGACGAAAAGGAAATCTCCGTCAAATCTGTCCACCAACACATCCGCCGTTGCCACAAGATGTGGAACGAAACAATATCTGCTCTGAATCGAACTGCTGCACAGAACAAGAAATTCTCGGACAGAAGGAGACATCCTGCACCCGATTACGTTCCTGGTCAAGAGGTATGGCTCTCAACACGTGACATCCAGCTAAAATCTATGTCTATATATCCCCCAGATTCATCGGACCATACAAGATCGCTCAAGTCATCAACCCATCTGCTGTCCGCCTGCACCTGCCACCTACTCTCCGTATACACCCCACCTTCCACGTCTCCCAGATCAAGCCAGTTCTGACCAGTCCACTTTGCCCTCCGTCCGACTCCCCTCCAACCGCCCGGGACATTGACGGTCACCCGGCTTTCACCATTCGCCGGATCGTGGACTCCCGTCGCCGGGGTCGCGGTTGTCAGTACCTCGTCGACTGGGAGGGCTACGGTCCGGAGGACCGCACCTGGGTTCCGGGGTCCTTCATCCTGGACCCATCCCTCATCAACGATTATAAGAACTCTCTTCCGTCCACTTCCTCTGGACCGCCAGGAGGCGGTCGTTGAGGGAAGGGTACTGTTGGGATCTGGAGATCTGCCACCTTTCTCCAGCAGAGAGCGCCTGGGTCTCCTGAG